GGCGGCAGTCATCGTCCTGGCCAGCAAGGTGAGATTAACAATCCCAGGCCGAACCCATTTGTACTGAAGTGAAGAGGCAAACTGAACACCAAACTATCCCAAGAAAGAACTTGAAACACCGAGGACTTGGACAAAGGGTGAGCAACAACCCCACTTAACCCCGTCAGCCGAATAGAGAAGAATAAGATGCAGTCCCAGCCCTGCAAGGTGACCTGGGGGCCTCATGCCCCGAGACACACATGATTCCAAGCATTCCCAGATTGAAACGAAAGCCATAATCTTGGCAAAGTGAAGAGGTTGACAACCCCATCCAAACCCGTTTTGAACTGAAGTGAAGAGCCAAACTAAGGGCGAAGCGGACCCAAGTTAAGAAACGTCCATCGAGGCTGTGGGCAAAGCAAGAAACGACTCCACTACTTTGGCCCTGACGGACATATTGAGAGCAGAACTTAATTCATGCCTCAGAGGAAAGTCCAGGAGTCTCCGATTGAACCAGAGTTGAACCAAAAGAGAGATGAGGGCCCGAAGGGAACTGCCTCAGTCACATCAGGAAACGGGGTTTGCAGAGCAAGTGGCACCTAACATTGGCACCGTTGTTGCCAGACTCCACCGTTATAAGATCTCCCACATCTTCATACATATCCTTGACGTAGAGGAGAGCCACAATACAGCTACCAGCGAAGATCTGAGATTTATCGTGTAGCCTCTCCTTCTTAGGGCAGACCTCAGGGCCAATGAACGCTTCTTTGGTATAAAACCGCGCGTTAAACACGTGGATGTCCTTGGAGCGAAACGTGTTGAGCCCAAAGTGCCAGAGAATCTTCGTAACGTCCCTGGTAGTGAGAAAGCCGTGCTCTCCCAGAACTGGGATACTGTCTGAAATCAGTGGGCCTTGATTATCGATAATGAAAGGTGTGAGCTCACGAACTGTGATGATTTGGAAGTGCTCCCCGACCTCGGCCTTGAAGGTGTTCAAGCCTGTAAGCTGGGGAACGAAAACCATAATGTAGCGCCTTGAACTGGTATGGTCTGTGCCGCCCTTTGGGGCGAAAATTGGGCATCCAGAATGATCGTACTCCAACTGGGACTTCAGCACTGGAGGGCCTAACTTGCTGATCCAGGGCTTCTTATCCTGTTCCCAACTCTTTGGGGCAGGCTGCGACTTTCGGTCAGGCGAGTCGACTTCCGCTTCAGAGCCAGAGGATGAACTCCTGGAGCCTGGTGATTCCGAAGACGGTACTTCCCAAGTAGTGCCGCCCGCCGGTTTGACAGGTGTTTCCCCACGGTAGTCCTGCGTATCTGGTAGGGCATCATCCGAATCGGGCTTCGACCCCGACCCGCCGCCCTGCGGTTGTTTCTTGACCGAGATGGGACCCGCCGCCCTGGGAGAAGCCATGGGACTCTACCGAGATTGTGCGAGCAACTTGGCAGATGCTATTGTGGCGCAGGAGCTCGTGGCCAAAGAGCTGGCGCCTGAGCCGCTTTCGTCTCCATCTGAGTTGGGGAAGCTGGACGTCCGTCAGTTCTTGGACCAAAAGGCGGAGCTCAACCTCAGCTTCGGGGGGCTCTTCGATGACGTGGACCTTGAGGATAGCGATCGCGAGGAGTTCGAGCGGCGCAAGAGCACCTTCGAGGCGGAGTTCCGTGCGGCTTTGGACTCGCAGTTCCGCAAGGTGGTGGAGAATTTGGCCTCGCAGCAGCAGAAGAAGGTGGAGGAGATCGGATCTTGGCAACAGGCCAAGAAGCGCAAGTCCAGTTCGCGCCCGCCTGCTTCGGCGGCCAAGCCTGGCGAAGGAGGACCAGCTGAAGCAGGTGGCGCTGCGGCTACGGCGGCTGCTTCAGCCGCAGGCCCTGCGGTGGGGGCCACTCCCTCCACACCTACGGCACCGACACAGACAGCTGCGGCTGGCAAATCTCCCTGGGCGAGTGTCTCTCCTTTGGTCGACGGCAAGCAGACGGAGCTCCGCACCATCATGGACGAGGCGTTGGCCAGGAAGAGGGCAGATGCAGTTGGCAAGCAGTCGACAGTTTAGCAGCCCACCCTCGGCCGATCCCTGGCTCCCGCCCCGTCCTGGGCAGGTAGCAGCACAGGGGGAGGCCAGTGAAGAGGGCACGTTGGGCAGATCTACTACAAGTACGGCAGCAACTGGGACATCCAGGAGGCTATTCCAGGGGGGGTGGCCCCTCTTGGGACCCCTGGCCTGGACTTCGGCGGCACGAGTTTATTGCAGGGGGTGGCTCCTTTTGAGACCCCTGTCACGAACGTCGGCCAGGGCGACGGCAGCTTACTAGCATACCAAGGGGCGGCCCCTCCTGGGACCCTTAGCACGGACGGTAACGACGCGATCTACTGCTCCACAGATAAGCTTGCATACCAAGGGGTGGCCCCTTTCGGGACCCTTGGCACGGACTGGGAGGCCACGGTCTACAGCCCCACGGATGAGACTGCATACCAGGGGGTGGCCCCTTTCGGGACCCCTGGCAAGTTCTTGCCAGAGACGTTCTACAGCACGCTGGGGGTGCATACTTACCAAGGGGTGGCCCCTCTCGGGACCCTTGGCACGATCTGGGAGGACCAGGCCTGTTTCTTCTGGGACGATCGTGCTTCTCAAATGGCAGCCCCTCTTGGGCTCTCTGGTGGTAGCTTTTTCAATTACCAAGATAGTGGGATGCAGGGGGTGGCTCCTTTCGAGACCCCTGATTCGATGGATGGGAACAGCAGTCTCAACAGTCTCTATTCGCAGGGGGTGGCTCCACTTGAGACCCCTGCTTGGCACTGGCATGGTTCGAAGTTATTTCGTACTTTTGACAGCGTCAATTTTCAAGATTCCTGGACAGATCAGTTTGAGCCACTGCAGCACTGTGAGGCAAATAACCGTTTCGACCACGGCACCTTGCTCTCTCAGTCGACGGCACAGGCAGATTCTTTCCAGGCGGGCGTCAGAATGCAAAATCCTGGACACCCTGGTACGACGTCGTCATGTTCCAAGCCGGGTGGAAATCGAGGTGCTAGTTCGCAAAATCCTGGTTCGCCAGGTTCAATGTCGCCACCTCTTCTGTCCTTCTCTGGACATGGTGTCAGATCGCAAAATCCTGGACACCCAGGTTCGTCGTTGCCAATTGCTGGGCTGGCTCGTGTTGGAAACTGGCCACCGATTTCGGTTGGCAAGGAAAGGTCTCTGTTCGCGAAGCACGGCAGTCTCCTTCTCATCGAGGGCACGATTGAGGTAAATGGTTGGAAGGTTACCTGGGAGCTCTACGTTGACTTAGGCTCTGAACTTCGAGGTCGACTGCCACGACCTCCTCAATTCCCTCGAGTGGATCGAGCCAGAGAGCGACGAGACCTTAGGCATGAAATGACTGCATCTGCGGCCAGGTGGGTCCACGACATCAGAGGCGAGCGCTACAATTCTTTGGAGCATTGGAAGGAGTGGTGTGTTCCGTACTTTATTGCATCGCTCTCACGTCGGTCTAAGCGCGGCCTCCGTCAGAACCTGGAGAACTACTACCGCATGTCGTTGCAGGACATCGCAGAACACTTATGCACGCGCTCTTGGGTCACAGCGGAGCCGCACAGGGCTCTATTCTTCAACGCGCTCAACTCCATCAGGACCCCTAGGCACTACAGGAGATTCTTGCGATGGCATTTCGACGACCTTAGTGAGCTGCGCCGACGGTTTCGACGCCTTCTCGGGAATCGAGTTCCTCCAGATCGTCACCTTCCTGACCGCGATGACGACGACATGGAGGACGATCAGGCTCAGGATCGAATGTGCATCTTCTGGGACTGGGTCATACAAGCTATGGGGGTCACTCAGGTTACCGAGAAGGAGGCGAAGGCTGACAAAGATGCCGGTGCACAGTTTCGGGTGTACATGCGCAACATGTCGACCTGGGGTACCTCGGCTAAGGCGCTGTTGAAGCGGTCCTACGACGCGGTCATCATCCAGGAGACCCACATGGACATGGCCGAAACCAATGACGTCTTGGTGGAGTTTGACAAAGCTGGCTACAAAAGTATGGTGTGCCCAGCGGGTGCTGAGTCTGCTATCTTCACGAAGAAAGCTGGTGGTGTCGCGATGGGTGTCTCAAAGAAATGGTCTTCTTGGTCACTCAGACACTTGGCCTCCAACAAGGACGAGCTACCTGGTAAGCGAGCAGATAAAAGCAAGAAGGACGTGGCGGCTCTTACCACTGGAGCTCGTTTTAAGGATTTGGTCGGGATGCAGGTGCTCTTGAAAGGTGCACATCTCACGATAATCGGAGGCTACCTCTACAATGGGTTGGGCATCACGGGCGCCAACGTGGAGAAACTCAGGCATTTGGCCTCACTCGTTTCTTCTTTATCGACACCTTGGGTTATCTTATGCGACTGGAACTTCCCTCCAGATACCCTTCGCAAGGCCGGGTGGCTCAATCTGGTCCAAGGCAATATCTTGGTGGCAGACAACGTGGACTACACGTACACTGGAGGGCAGGGCACGCTCTTAGACTATGTTGTGGCCTCAGGGCCTGCCCTGGAGTACCTGGACCGCATTCACGCCGACACTGACTTAGTGGGCGAAGGTGGCAAAGCACATTACGGTATTGTCTTGGATCTACTTCTGAATGCCAAGCCAGCTGAGGGACGAACTCTCAGCTTACCCAAGGCTTTTGGCCCTCCGCCTCAGCCCAAGAAGCAGGCGGATCCAAACAGCAAGCGCTCGAGAAAGTTGGCGGTGGTGGCTACTCCAACGTCAGCGAGACCGAAGATCGCCAAGCTTGGGGAGAGACGGCGGCTTGGTATCAAATCTCCTCCTCCATTCAATTTCTTGGGTCCTATGGATCTTGGGGAGGAGTCAGAGAGCGATGAGGGCGAGCCTGACGACGACGAGCCTCTACCTTCCGAACCAGAGGATCAAGATGAAGGCCTGGTCCCTCCTGGGGGTGAAGCTGGTTTAGGCGACAAGTGGTCAGTTGATCAGCGTGCCGATCTTTGGTCGTCCATCAGCATACCTCAGGATCATCGCTGGTCGAAACCGCCGTCGTATGTCACGGACTCCCACGCGTGGCGGCTCACTTCTGATAGTGCTGGCAAGTTGGGCATTGCCTTCGGTGAGTGGGTTGGCAAGGTGGAAGAGTTCTTCAGCCACCTGCTCGACGGTGAGGGTCTGGACAAAGACAGCAAGGCTCATCGAGGCCGAGGTCTTGCTCGGCTCACCAGGGTCCATAAAGTGGTGCCGTCCCCTCCGTTTACGCGCACACGGGATCCTGGAGTGGACTGGTGGGCCAAGATAGCTTTCTTGATGGAGGAGCTGGACAGGGCCAGTTCCAAGCGAGAATCGCCAAGGTTTGGGAAGATCATTACCAGGCTCAGGGAGGCCACGGCTTGGGTTCCTTCTTCGACCCTGGCCTCTCTCCCTCGCAAGGAGAAAACAGCTTGGCGCAGGAAGCTGCGGCAGCTCAACACCGCCACGAACGACACCATCAGGCGCTACAAGGACGAGAGCAGCAAGATTGCGGCCAGCTTGCAGCGGATGGAATGTTATTCTCAGTACCTGGCTTTCTCTCAATGGGCGGAGGAGCAGTACGTGGCGGCACCTGGGAAGCTGTTCAGATTGATCAAGGACAAGGCCACTTCGAAGGACGAGTTCGAGGAAGGCCAGGTGATATCGTCGGACCCCCTCACGGCGATGGATATTCGGGCTAAGGTGTGGAAGAAGAAGTGGAGCGACCAGCAGCTGGACATCGGCCAGGTCACCATACTCTTGGGACGTGTTAGGGCTCGTGCTCGTGAAGATGCTACCCTCTCTTCGACTTGGAGACGCTGGAAGACGGTATCCGAAGGATGAAGGGCACTTCGGCGAAGGGCATTGAGCAGTTGGGGAAGAAGGACCTCATCTGGCTGCCCGAGCAAGGTAAGCAGGAGCTGGTCCAGCTTTTTCAACTTATCGAGCAGTCAGTGGCATGGCCTTGGCAACTTACGGTGGTTCTGGTCACTCTCCTACGCAAGCCGAGCGGTGACGACAGGGCCATTGGGACATTATCGACTTTGGCGAGGCTCTGGTCGAGTTGTCGAGGCGAGTACCGTGCCAGCTGGACTAAGGCAAAGGCTGGGCATTGGGATGCAGCAGTGGCAGGTTCCTCAGCCCTGCGTGAGGCCTTAGCTCGCAGTTACCTGGACGAGACGGTCGCGCTCACCACGATTAAGGATTGGGTGCAGGCCAGCGTGCTGTGGGACATTGAGGGGTTTTATGACGCTCTTAAATGGCAGCTCTTACTGGAGACGGGCATGGAGCACGAATTTCCACCGTGCATCTTGGCTTTGGAGATGATTTTACACATGGGGGTGCGTTTCCTCCGCGACAGTGGTTATTACTCTGATGCCATCGTACCCGAGCAGAGCATGATCGCTGGACTTGGCGGCGCAGTGGATTTCTCTCGCTGTTCTTTGTACAACATCTTGGACAGAGTGGCGCAGGGGTCTCCTGGTGTTACGGTAAGGTCTTGGGTGGATGATGTTTCTCAAAGAGTGGAAGGCCGATACAAAAGAGTTCTTGGATTAGCTTTGCAAGCCGGCTTGACTTTTGCAAAAGGTTGCTCTGAGGCTGGTTTGGTGATATCGGCAAAGTCGACGATCGTCACCAACAATGCTGGGCTAGGCAAGGAATTAAAACGAGGCTTCGCCAAGGAGGGCTTCGAGGTCAAGATCGAGAGTGTCGCCACCGACTTGGGCATCGATCGAGGTGCGGTTGGTTTTCGGCGTCCGAAGCAGGCACAGCGGCGAAGAGGTGCTCAGCAGCGTTTCACTCGCGTCAAGCGGTTTGCTCAAGGGGCTGTTCGTAAGAAGATCGGCGCAAAGCTGGCCATGATGGGAGTTCTTCCGATGGCTGATTACTCTGACAAAGTCTTTGGAGCGGCTCCGTCGGTCATCAACGGTTGGAGGAAAGCTCTGGGACAGACTCTGGCAAAGAAATGGCCAGGTCGTTGCCTCACCACTCTGTTACAACTTCGTGTCGGCCGCAAGGACCCTCAGTATCAGATCGTGCACAGGCTGGTGGAATCTTGGATGTCCATTATCTTCAAACCAGGCTTCGATCTAGAGTTGGCGCGTCGTACATGGAGGACGGCACGAAGGCGAATTGACAGCAGGGCTCAGAAGGACAGATGGAGAGGCATCACTGGAGTGGTATCTGCAACTATAGCCACGCTCTTAGACATCGGTTGGGATCCAGTGGGGCCCTGGGCATGGATTTCCGATCTTGGCGAAAGGTTTATGGCCCCAGACCATATCATCGGTCAAGGTCCCCAAGATATGAGTGCCCTCAAAGATGCCATCTCTGATACGATCGACCGTATGCTTTGGGATAAGGCTTCGCGGCATTGGAATGGCAAAGGTCTAGAAGAGGGAGCTGACGTTCGTGAAGCTCGACGTCACCTCACAGCTTTGAAGAAGAAGGGCGAGCACGAGATGGCAGGCGCTATCGAGACTGTCATGACGGGGGCTTCGTGGACACGCAGCAGGATCTCGACCCTGAGCAGCAGCAATTTGGACACCTCCGACTGTCAGCGTTGCAAGTGTGGATTGGACGAGACCGATTTGCACCGTAGTTGGTCATGTTCTTGCAACGAGTTGTTCCCCCCCCCCCCCCCCCCCCCCCCCCCCCCCCCCCCCCTGTTGTGGGTTTTATATAGGGGGGGGGGGGTGGGGTTTTTATAACAACCAAACCACCCAAAACCAACACCCCCTCCCGTCGGTCTCTGCGAAACTTGCGTAACCAGGGCTCACAAGATTATGAAACCTTCCTGCTTTGTTGAGGGTCATATTTGCCTGCTCCTTGACCAAGGTGGACGAGCCGACAGACAACCCGTATGATGAGGTCATCGGCCATAAGGAAGATCTCAAGAAGCACGATCATCTCTTGGTTGGTGGTGATGCGTCAGGGGGGCTTCATTCAGCAGATGCCAGGTTGCGGCGGATTGGCTGGTCATATCAAGTTATCAAGGTGACCACCGACACCGACCTAGACGTCCAGCTGTTGTTCTCCCGAGGCGGCGGCATCCCCAAGAAGCAGACCATCAACCGTGGTGAGACGACGGCCTTGCTTAGGGCCGCTGAAGATCTGCTCAACTTAGGGGTCCCCATCACCTTCGTCACGGACTCGGGGTACGTGGTCAAGGGGCTCCGCAAACTTTCGCAAGGGCGGCTTCCGACTACGAACTTGGACCTCTGGCTGCAGGTCAAGGACGTGATGGCACAGTACCCGTCCTTGCTCAGCGTCGTCAAGATCGAGAGCCACATGTCTGTCGAGTTGGCCATCCAAGCTGGGACGCAGATCGAACACTACCTAGCTAACGCCTTAGCTGATGAAGCGGCTGGGTATTGGGCAAAGGTGGTGTCTGTTCCTAGCTCGGTAGCAGAGTCCTTGGAGCATGCGGAAGCAATCGGTCGTGCTGTCCGCAAACACTTGGCCAGCAGATCTGGTCGGGCGCGAGTGCGGAGCCAAAACGTGCGTCCGACGAAGTCCAAGGCCTAAAAAGTTCTTTTCGTCGTGTCAATAGTGTCCGAGCACTCAACCACACCCATATCAACCAACAACTCAAAATAGAACCCAAACACCAAACGCACAAAAATAAAACACCAACAGCCAACAAACCACCCAGTAACCAACACAAACAAAGCAAAAAAAAAACACTCAAAAACCAACCCCCAAAACCAGGTCTTCACAGGCATGGGCACATCCTTTCATTGTTCGGCTTGTGGTTGCAGCGCGAGTGGTCGCAAGCTTGAAAGGTTCTTGGAGACGCCCTGCTTGGGAGGAGTTCTCAAGGGCCACATTCAGAGAGTGGGTGATGTAGGAGTTCACGTTCAGGGAGTTCCGACTCATGAGTCCCACCTCTTGGGTTATTTCAAGGACCTGCAGATCCATGCCTGTTTGCGCTGTGGGTGTGTTGGCAAGCATTTCCTTCGCGGCTTGGCGACTGAGTGTTCTGGTCAGCTGGGCCACTACGGACATCAGAACTTGGGCAAGCTGGCCCGCGGCATTCTCCCGAAGGGGCGTGTGGCGTTTTGCAGCAAGCAGCCCGAGCAGATCGGCACCTAACTTCGTCGTGCTGACATTTCATTTCTTTTCGAGGCCTTCTGGTCTCCTGGGCGTCTATGTGTATCATGGTATAAGTCCTACAGCTGCCTCGTCATGGCGTTTGATGTCGCCTCTGGCTTCGCTCGACGTCTTCGAGGCGCTGTTATTCCTGGGGGTGGCTCCTCTCGAGACCCCAGGGTGATATCGCCTTCGTTCTGCCTATTCACCTACGAGACTGCATTGTACATTGCTCGACTGCATCGTCGAGGCGCGTATTATTCCTGGGGGTGTCTCCTTCAATGTACCCAGTTTCTGCCACATGAGTGTGCGGCCATATGCCGTCCCTCCCCCCTAACCTTCCCCTCGTCTTGACCTCCTCAGGGCAACGTTGCTGGGGGGGGGGCTCTGATTGGATGCTTGGCGGGCCGCGTTGAAAGGTACTAAATCAACTCCCCACCTCCCTCCTCCTCCTCCTCCTCCTCCTCCTCCTCCTCCTCCTCCTCCTCATCCTTCTCGTCCTCCGCCTCCTCCTCCTCCGCCTCCTCCTCCTCCTCGTCGAAAGAGCAGGAGCAGCAGGAGCAGCAACAGCAGAAGGACGAGCATGGGCCGCTGGGCGGGATCGCTCAGCACATGCAGGGCAGGCGGCCATTCCGGGAGCCACTCGGGAGCCTGCAGGGCCGCTGCGGCGCGCGTGGGGCTCGACGAGCTGCTCTGCAGTTCGCAACTGTTGCTCCCAAGCCAGCGACATCCTCGTTTTTGACTACCTACCAGACCACCCCAACCCAACCGGAAGACCCGAATTTCGGATTGGGGGGGTACGGGCTTCATGTGTGTTTTTTTCAATGCTGTCCGACCCCCCCCCCCAACTGAAAATGGATGGCAAATTGAGGCCTTCGGGTTGGGTGGTTTGGTGGGTGGTGAGTTCTGCTCTCGATCCCGGAATCTCTGGCGGGCCGCTGCTGAGCCCCCGTGGACCATCCGATAAAAACGTGTGATTTGGCAATACCGGCCGCCCCAGAGGAGGGCGGGAAGCCCGGCCCCGAAAGGGGTGAGAGAGCGCTGAGACCCGCGGACTGGGCAACCCGATCCGCCAGAGGACTGGGGCAGCGTTGCCGCTCCCTTGCGACTGAAGCTCTCGCGACTTGAAATTCCCTGCGTGCTGGGACGACGGATGCCCACGCCGGAGCCTGTTTTTTTGGCATTCGCGATGACGCCCGTGACCCCCCTCCTCCACCACCCCCTCTGATCACGTCACGATTCGCGACGACGACGAAGAGGGGACTGTCTTGGAGGAGCTGGCCCCCTCGTCCTCTCCTCCTCCTCCTCGTCCTCCTCCTCCTCCTCCTCGTCCTCCTCATCCTCCTTCTCCTCCTCCTTCGTGTGTTGACTCGGATCTGACGGCTGCGGGCTGGCCTCGCGTGACAGTTCGGAAACTCTTCTGGGGTACTCTTGCGGCCTGGTTGGTGCTCTCTTGGGGCCTCCCAGGGTCTTTGGGGCCAACCTGGGGCCGTTTGGGGTCATGCGTGAAACTCCCTCTCGGGTCTAGCCTTGGATCTGAGAGTATGTGGGGGCCTCTTGGGGCATTGTTGCGGCTCTCTTAGAGTGCCCTAGGGAGGTTGCTCGGCCTTTTCGGGCCCCTCTGGGGACGTCTGGGGTCATCTGGAGGCCACGGCAGTCCATCGGAAGCCGAAAAGGCGAGACAGAAAAACCTGGAAAACTCACAGGGTCTCCCTGGGCGCTGGTGCCACCTCAGAGCCATCTTAAGACTTTCTTGGAGCATCTGAGAGCCATGCTGGAGGCCATCTTGGGCCAACATGGCCTCCCTCGGACGCCATCTTGGAAGCCTGCCTCGCCTTGTTCAGCCTCGTCTGGCCTTGCCCATTCCAAGACCGCGCGCACAGTTGCCGTCCAGGTTGGGCCACTGGGAGGAATTTTCCAGGTATGGGCGTTGACGCCATGACAACGGACACTCTAACCGATCATTGAAGTACAAATAGGTGTCAAATGTCTTCTACATGCTCTAAACATGTTCGAACATGTTTAAAACATGTTTGACCACGTTAGAAACATATCTAAAACGTGTTCTTGACATCTGGAAAATATTTGGAAATACTCCTCCTCTCCATTGAAGCTCTCCACCACGGGCCTGGTTTGGTCCATTACGGACATCGTCCAAGTCAGCCCAGAGGGCATCCAAAATGGCAAGAAGGCCCCGAGCTGGCTCCAATGTGGGCCCCGAGCCTCCCTAGAGGATACCCGGGAGAGGCCAATAACAGCGAAACAACGGGAGTGTCTAGCTGATGTGCAAATCGTTGTCCTCCCCTCCTTTTCTTCCAACCTCCTCCTCCTCCTCCTCCTCCTCCTCCTCCTCCTCCTCCTCCTCCTCCTTTTCTTCCAACCTCTTCCTCCTCCTCCTCCTCCTCCGCCGACTCCTCCTCCTCCTCCTCCTCCTCCTCCTCCTCCTCCTCCTCCTCCTCCTCCTCCTTCTCGCTTAAGCATGTCCTCCTCCGCCTCCTCCTCCTTCTCGCTTAAGCATGCGAGGCCTCGAGACAGCTGAAGATGGCCCAGGGAAAGCCCCAAGGAGGGCCCCAAAGGAGGGCCCAGAAGGGCCCCAAAGGCCCCCTGAGAGAACCCGAAGAGAGCCCAAAGAGGGCCCCAAAAGGTGATTGCTATAGCTCCCAGAGGAGTCGCTGACTAAACGATAGCCCATGGCCCCCCAAGATGGCCACAAGAGGCCAAAGATCTCCACTAGAGCCCCCCAGCCTCCTAAAGGGCCCAAAGAAAGCACCAGCAGGTTTCCAATGTCCCATAAATCGGCTCCTAGAGGACGGGCTCCAAGTTTACCACTTCGAGGGGCTGATCGGGCGGATCCCCCCATCGGATCTGACTGGTGCTCCCCCTTGCTTGTTCAAGGAGTGCCCCCCCCATTACCCCATGTCACGCAAGCTCGTCTGCCAGTCGTTTCTGGATAGAGTAATGAGGATACGCGGAGAGTCGGGAGTTCTTCGTCACATCTCCTACTCAGTGTCCCCATTATCCTGTTCCATATCATCCACCTTCATATCCACATCCTCATCCTCATCAAGGCTCATCCACCCTATTTTCATTCGCCTCATCCTCCTCCTCCTCCTGCCTCTCCCCCTCCTCCACCTCTACATCATGCTCCGACTAATCCTCCTAATCCTCCTCGCCCCCCTCCCCCCCAGGATCATCATCATCATCATCATCATCATCATCATCATCACCATCATCATCATCATCATCATCACCACCACCACCATCATCATCATCATCATCATCAGCATCATCATCATCCTCATCATCATCATCATCATCATCAGCATCATCATCATCATCAGCATCATCATCAGCAGCATCATCATCAGCATCAGCATCAGCATCACCATCATCATCACCATCATCATCATCATCGTCATCATCATCATCATCATCGTCAGCAGCAGCAACATCATCGTCGTCATCGTCATTAACAGCATCATCATCCGCATAATCAGCATCAGCAGCAGTAGCAATATCATCAAAACATCCGTATAATCATCATCGTCATCATCAGCATCAGCATCATCATTAGCATCAGCATCAGCATCAGCATCAGCATCAGCATCAGCATCATCAGCAGCAACATCATCATCCTCGCCATCATCATCAGCATCATCATCATCATCATCAACATCAGCAATCATCAAGCATCATCAACATCAGCACAGCAACATCATCAACATGCATCAACAGCATCAACTAGCACAAAAAAACTTCCGCATCACCATCACCACCACATCATAATCATCATCGTCATCCACAACACAACAATCATCACCATCACCAACCGAAACAACCATCAACCCAAAGAATCAGCATCATCAACATAATCATACACCATCATAGACATCATTTTCTTTGTTCATCAACGAAGTCGTCAGCGAACAACCAATCATCATCATCATCATCATCATCCACACAATCATCATCATCCATCATCATCATCAGCATCAGGACCGCCGCCACTCGCAACATCATCGTCATCAGTCGGCATCAACATCTGCATCATCATCGTCATCATCTCTATCATCATCAGCATCGCGACATCAATCACATCACTTTCTTCATCTCAACCACAACCATCACAACATCATTACCAAACATCCTCACATCCTCACGCAATCCAAACCACCACCACCACCACCACCACCATCATCATCATCATCATCAACAACATCATCATCAGAATCAGCATCATCATCCCCTCTTCCTCCTCCTCCTCTTCCAACCTCCTCCTCCTCCTCCTCCTCTCCAACCCCTTCCCAGTTATCATCATTATTATCAGCATCATCATCACCATCATCATCATCATCCTCATTATCATCATCAGCATGATCATCGTCAACATCATCAGCATCATCATCATTATCATCAGCATCATCATCGTCATCAGTAGAATCATCATCGTCATCATCACAGCATCATCGTCATCGTCATCATCACCATCATCAACAGTGTCACCATCATAATCTGAATCAAAATCATAACCATAACTAATCATAAGCATGATCCACATCATCATCAGCAGCACCACAAACAGCAGCAGCAGTAACAGAATCATCAGCATCATCATCACCACCACCACCACCACCATCATCATCACCATCATCATCAGCATCATCAGCATCATCACCATCATCATCAGCTCATGATCATCATGATCATCATCATCATCATCAACATCATCATCACGATCATCATCATCATCATCAGCAGCATCATCATCATCATCATCATCATCAGGAGCAGCATCATCGCCAAGTGGCGAAGCAGCTACATCGGCATGCTGGGTATCTCTGGCATGTCGTCTACACGGAGGGTGACATGATCTGGCGCCCAGTCCAGCGTGCTGCGCCTAATCGCCAACTGCGCGCTGATGCTGTGAGCCTTGTGCTGGGCGCGGCCGGCAAGAAGGCTGACACGCCCGAATATATTCGTCGCTCTCGCCTGGGCCTGCACCGTTGGGGAGTTACTTCGATGGCAGTGTGCAGACGTGCTTCGACTTCGCTGATTACACGTCGGTCGGAAGAAGTAAATAGGTAGAAACATGAAGTAGGAAGGCGTTGGAAATAGATTGAATTTCCGCCCGCCTCCTAAAGAGGAAGGAAGAGGGAAAACCACTCGACTCTTGAAGAAGGAAGGCGCTGAAAGCAGATTGGAATCTGGGAATCCAAAAGTACCTACTTTCAACGACCGATGGGTATTCTCACCTCGCATATGATGTGTTGGGTCAGGTGGGCATCATGAGCGGCCCCTTCGCATCCAGACTGGACGAGATCCAAGAGCAAATCGACCTCCGCGTCATGGGGGTCCTCCGGGCTACATCTGACCGGTTCGACACGCGCCTGAAGCACTTCGACGACATCGCGCCAGTGCACGACAGTCTCGCACAGTACGTCGTCCTTCGCTTTTCAAGATATACAGGACAAGGGAGGCAACCACCAAGTGGAATGCGACTCACACGCCATTCATTGCGGCGTTGACTTCGCCCCTCGTGACGACAACTTGTCAGTACTCGGGTCGCTCTTGTCGGAGTTGGACGTCCGCGCGAACGCTTTTCGAGAGTGCGATTGGGCTCCGATGTTTGCCTTCCTCGCTGACCTCGAAGCCCGCTCGAAAGCTGAATGTCGTGGCCCGTCTCATCATTG